GCCATTCCCACTCATTATTTCCCGTTCTTCAGCACAAAGCAGTTACAGCCAACTTTTAGGAAAATTTCCCATTCTCAAATTGGTCGAATCCCGCTAATTTTAATGTGAGTGATAGAAAATCCCTAGGGATGACAACGGAATAGCTAGAAGACTCTGGGTCCCAGGCATGAATCTGACCTACCTTGTCCTCCTGGCGACAAATGGACAGACGAGCCGACCATCTGGATTCCGGGTTGGTTGGAATGATGGGTTGGCTCGGCTGAGTTGGGTCTGGAGGGACTGAGCCGCGAGACTAGCGCGGACTCATAAAGCATCGCCGGAGAGCACTTGGACGGCCAGCCACTGGTGCACTTGGTCACGATCAAGAGATCGTTGAAGATGAAGAGGACTCGCCAGTGTTGGTAGATCAGCCGGCCGGTGTTGCTCACCTTTGAGTCGATAGTTTTCAGCTGAGGACGCAATGAGACAATAAAGATGGCATGAATAATACATGCAAATGCATACGTTCTTCAGTTACGTCAGCCTTAAAAACTCGATTTCCTCATACCCCTCAATTATAAGAAATGGCATTTTTTTCTGTCTACAGCACAATTTGCAAATCATAAAGATTCGTCAAGGCTGAAGAATAAAGTTGGTATTAGCATTGTGATTTTAGTACACCAATTAAGGAGACAAATGATGAATTAACAGGTCACACCCAACACTGACCTGCATAGTCAAAGAATGAACAAAATGTATGACTTAATGCTGACAGATCCAGTACTAAGGAAGACTTGGTAGAGTCGCTGTATATAAAATAGATGAATCAGGGTTGGACAGTTAACAAACATGTCGCATCATCTGAAATCTCAATAAACGTCTGTTCGGAGGCTAATTTACCTTTTCTTACCAGCAATTATGTCATCGTCGGGCTAATACAGCAAAATTTTACTAATATCCCTATAATACTACTAACAATAAAAGTAGTAGTATATGTGTTTTTGTCTAAGTCAGCAGAAATATGTAAAATATAAAAAGCATAATCCCTAGATATTTTTATATACACTTTACATTCAACTCTATTGACCTCTTGGAGACAAGAAGCTCTTCGCTCACCTCTTGCGCAAATGTCCAACCGATGAACCTTCTGTATCTTTGGACAAATGTCTCTGGCTTGAGCGGTCCTATGAGGAGGCGGTCAATGTAGCGTAATTTATCGGTCAGATCAGGAAGAGTCTTGAACTCGGCGGCTTCAATGCGCGAGTAGATGCTCGCCAAACGTTCGTTCGGGAGGTCCCTTCCTCCGTCGATTCCCTGATTATTCTTAATGAAGTCACCCACCGTCATGCGACGACCATGCCGCTTTACATTCGGGTTGTAAAGATCTGTATGGAGCATCAAAATGGAATAGGCGAGTGTTTCAATTGTCTCCGGGTCGTGAAACTCTTGACCTGCCTTTTCCGGATTCTGACGAATGTATGCCTCCTGGAAGGTTCGCATAAGTGAGGAGATTTTCTGCGCCTCACCCTATTAACAGGGAATAGTGAAAAAATGCACATTACAGCATGATCATCAAAAATGAAAATTGACATATTGCCGATACAAGAAATGGTGTCACAGGACAACTTACATCGGGATGAATATGGCCCATCATTTTTCGTAATGCCTCTTCAACTTCCAGACCTTTCATGTCAATCTGGTTGATGAATTCTCTGAAAGAGCAAAGATATTTGAAGATTACTGAA